TTCCTCCCACGTTGGTGATGTTCACAGCCCCCAGACGGGTAGCCCATTGTTGTCTGTGCTGGGACACATGTTAGGTGAAAGTTTGTCCAGCAGTTTCACCTGTTCTCCTCCTCTTGGGCATAAGTGATGCAGAGTCAGCATCAAGGGAGTTTTGGACAAGAGTGGTCAGGTTTCCCAGACCCCCTTTGGTGATGAGTTTATGATGATTTTGACAGTTACTGTGTTGCCCAGTAATCTGTAAGCAGAGTTCATGAGGAGTGTTTTCAACAGTCTCTGCATTTCAATGCATTTCTATCACTAATAACATTCAAGAAAATGTCTTTACTTGTGATTGGGCTGTAATGAATACTTATTATATACTTTGTCATTTTGTTTTTATGCATGTTACAATCTATGTAATGTGCTATAAATCTCACCTCAGTGTTGCACTTTGAAATCTACACATAGTGGGATGGAAAGTTTATGTGATGTGAGAAATGTGACCAATCCTCAACGTACCTGAGTTTGACGTCTCCAGCTGGCATGAGAGCTGGGAGAAGGTCCAACTGGAACTCTTGGAATGAACTGCAATATCCCAGGTGTTAAACTTCAGAGTGCGAACTGCCAGGTGTGAAGACTGAGGGTCATTCCCACCCAGATTCAGACTCATCATTTCAAACTGCTTCTTGCCCCACAACCACTCCCCACCCAGCTGTGCTGTCCTCTGACCACAGACCTGCAGCACCTGAAGGATTCTCGTCTAGATTCATCCATACAGGTGAGGGTCTTAGCTGTCAGAAGTAGGGAAGCACGACCAGGGGGGAGGTGGGTGATGAAACTGGCACTGAGCCCTCAGCCATAGGGAAGTTCTGACAAGAGCCCAGGAACACTCGGGATGTGGGATCAGAATCCAAGGCTTCATCCTGACTTTGCAGCACTGTGCTCAGAAGGGCTGCGCTGCACCGAGGTTCACACGCTTCTGAGAATATTAATGTCAGAATCCTGGGTACAGATTCCACTGATGATGGGGAAGACATTGATTTTAATAAAAAATCCTATTAGATATTTCTTTATAGAATTGGGTGATTTTGATAAAGAAAATTAGCTGATATTTTCCAAATTCAGAAGGATGATGGAAGTCCAGGAAGCCATCATCACACACATAACCAGGGCTCCCGTCTGTGTACAGGGACACGCACACACACATGCACACACAGGTGCACATGCACATATATTCAGGGACCCACACTTTTCTATCGTATCTGCATCCAAGTCCTCCTCTGTCCAAGGTACTGTCTCTGACACACACAAGACATAATCCTGGGACAGGAAACTGCTGGAATCTGAGGAATCATGGAGGACCCTTATTTTCCAGTAATGACCGAGTGACTGTAGTTTTCTTCGATCCCATGACAAGGGCTTCAATGCTGGACTTAGTACCTCAGACGCCATCATACACAG